TATTTGTATAATGTTATCATATCCCCTCTCAGGCGACGTTTTTCTAAACTAAATAGGTTTAAATTTGTTAACCTTTCTTCATAGCTGATATGTTCCATTCCTTTTATTAATTTTGTAGCCCGCCTCTGCACTTTTTCTAGTGCCATAATATCCTTCTTTAGAACAGGTGCCCAAAATTGCACAGCATATTCAATATGGGGTCTTACCAGTGATTTATAAAGAGGCAAAATTATATTCTTGTCCCGAGAATGAATGCCCTTTTTCATGCATGACAATACCTTACTGGCCTTGGCCACTGCTGACTGACATTGCACATTGTTGCATAGTTTGTTGTCTATAACAATTCCCAAGTCCTTTTCATGTGTTGTTATCCCTAATTCGCTTCCATTAAGGGTATACGTTGCTTGTGTATTCTTTACGCCGAAGTGCATAACTTTGCATTTTTCAACATTAAATTTCATCTGCCATTTGAGTGCCCAGTCCCCCAGTCTATCTAAATCCCTCTGCAGCAAAGTAATATCTTGCTCACATTGTATTATTTTACAAAGTTTGTGTCATCTGCAAACACTGAAACATGACTTTCAATGCGGTCTTCAAGATCATTTATAAACATGTTAAATAGAAGGGGTCCCAGAACAGACCCCTGAGGGACCACTTGCCACCTCTGTCCAGCTTGAAAATTTACCGTTAATGACAACTCTTTGTACTCTGTTTTTAAGCCAATGTTCTACCCAAGAACATGCATTTTCATCTAGACCGATTTCCTTGAGTTTGAACACTAATCTATTGTGTGGAACTGTATCAAATGCCTTGGCAAAATCCAAAAAGATCACATCCACGGCAACACCCTGATCTATACTTCTACTTACTTCTTCGTAGAACGCAATCAAGTTAGTTTGACATGACCTGTGCTTCATAAAACCGTGCTGATTTTTTGCTGATAACCATGTTCTTCTCAAGGAATTCTTGAATATTATCCCTTAATAACCTTTCAAATATTTTACCAGCCACAAGTTAAGCTCACAGGTCTATAATTTCCAGGCAAGGATTTTGAACCCTTTTTGAATATAGGAACCACATCTGCTTTCCTCCAATCCTCCGGAACACTTCCTGAAAGAAAAGAATCTTGAAAGATTAAAAACAGAGGTTCACTTATTTCTGCACTTAGTTCCTTAAGTACACGTGGATGGATACCGTCAGGCCCTGGAGCTTTGTTTATATTAACTTTCTTTGGTTGCTGCAGCACCTTGTCTTGAGTTAACCAATTACAATTATTCTGCAAGTTTTTAGTAGCAATCATTTGCACATCTATTGCCATGGGTTCTTCCTTAATATATACGGAGGAGAAAAAGTTATTTAAAATTCCTGCCTTTTACCTAGGCTATGTGTTTTCTCCAATACCTCTCAGCTGGCATGTTCTCAAAAAAGATCAAGAAGAAACAAGTGGAGGTGATTGCAATCATACCATTCTGGCTAAAAAGGCCTTGGTTTCCTCTTCTTCTACATTTCTCTACAGAATACCCTTGGGAGTTATTGATCAGCAAGTTCCTTCTCGCTCAGGATCCCTTATTTTAAAAGGATCCAAGCAAACTACATTTGATGGCATGGAAGTTGAAAGGCAGTCTTTAAGAGAGTTAGGTCTATCAGAGGTTGTAGTAACCAACCTTCTTCCGGCATGTAAAAAAAATCTCCAACTGCAACTTATCATAGGATTTGGATGAAATATGCAAAATGGGCTTGCCCAAAACTTTTGTCAGATTCTATCTTCATCTTGTTCTGAGATTTTAGAGTTTCTACAAGAAAGCATAGATATGGGATTAAGTCTACGTACAGTCCATCTTCATATCTCAACACTATCTGCCCTTATGGGAATCTGTTAGGTATCGTTTTCTAAAGGCAGTCATGAAGGTTAGATGCCTCCCTGAGACCTGCTGTTGGTCCTGAAATCTTTGTCTTCTTCTCACTTCGAACCTCTCTAGGAAATTTCTGGTCAACTGTTAACCTTGAAGACCACTGTACTGGTAGCATTAACCTCGGCTAGACAAGCTTCTGAATTGCATTCCCTCTCTAGTTTGAGCCAATACACTAACTTTTATAAAGATATGGTGGTACTTCATGTTGCATCAGAATTTTGACCAAAAGTGGTCCAATTTCTACCCAAATCAAGAGATTATGTTGCTAGAACCTCAAACAGAAGATCAGGTCTTATGGCATAACCAGGTCATTGTCCTATGTCTTTCTATCTACCTAGAATGCACCTAAGAGTGGATAAAGTCTATCAACCTCTTTGTCATTCCTAGTGGTGCTAAAAAGGGAAACATTGCATCCAAACCCACCCTGAGCATCTGCAATCATTAAAGCCTATGAGTACCAGAATGATAAAATTTAAGTAGGAATTAAAGTATGCTCAACTAGGTCTCACTCATCCTCATAGGCAGCTGCAGCATGAATTCCAGTATAGAGTATTTGAAAAGCAGCCACTTGGTCATCCACAAACACTTTTGTGAAACATTATGGTCTTGATATTAGATCTTCTAAAGATTCACAGTTTGGTCTTGGAGTTTGGCCCATCGCCCATAGCACAAAGGTGGCTAAAATGTTGATCCTCAAATGTCGTATAATTCCCATAATGGTTATCCAGCTGTGGATCTACCATTTGGCCATGCTTACAGGGCTAGGTTTGTTAGCAATGTCTGTGTGTTTGAATGTAAGCTTGTTTTTTTTTTTTTTATGGTGTAGGTATGTGTGAATGTAGATGTGGATTTGTGTGTAATGCTGGCATTTGAATTCAGGGATGTGTAGGCATTTGAATGTGGTGTAAAAAAGGTAGGAAAAACCGCACCCAAAAATATGTACAGAAATTTATACATACACAGATCTTTTAGGGTTGTATACACAGTTGACTTCAGAGTTAAAAAAACAAAAAATAATAGTGCAGTACCGTATGTACTTCTCTCCCCTCAATGTACCTTTCAACCAATCATAACTCCCCCTGCCCTATCCTTTTCTTCTTTTGAAGTTCACACTGTCTGCCTATTTAAACTCACTCCTTTAAGAATTGCTATCATCTACCGCCCCCTGGTTATCCTAGACTATTCATTGAGCACTTTTCTTCCTGGCTTCTCCACTTCCTCTCATCTAGCACTCCTTCCCTTATACTTGGGGATTTCAATATCCCAGTCAATAACCCCAATTGCACTGATGCCTCTCATCTGCTCTCTGTATTCCCTTTCCTCTATCTGACCACCATCTGCTGACTTTTGACATTGGCATACCTAAGACCCAATTGACACCACCTTCTGAACATCAATCTCACAGAAACCTCCAATGTCTTGACCTAGAGCATTTCTCCACTAATCTCCAAACTCTCCTTTTACCTATCTCAAACCTCACCTGTCCTAGTTCTTCAACCTCCTTCTACAATTCGACCCTCTCCTCTCAACTAGACATCATGGCACCTTGTACATTTAAATGCCGCAGGCGCCCCACCCCCCCAACAACAACCCTGGCACACCAAGCTCACTCGATACCTCCAAAAATGTTCTAGAACTGCTGAACGCTGTTGGAGAAAGTCTCACTGTGCATCTGACTTTCTCCACTATAAATTTATGCTGAGCTCATACAGCTTGGCTCTTTCCTCTGCAAAAGTTAATTACTTCAATACCCTCAAAACCACACTCTCCCGCGAACCCAAACGACTATTTCACACATTTAACTCTCTTCTTCGCCCTGCTGTTCCTCCTCCACCAACTAACTTAACCACCTCAGACTTTTGCATCAACAAACAGTTTATCAGTAGGTTTCTCATTGGGTGCCATGTTTTGTTTAGCCTGTATAACTTGTAAGAGTGAAGAAGAAATAGATAGAACCGTAGTAGCTATTATTCTGTCCGGGGGAATGACAGGGGTATTATCAAACTCTTCATGGACAAGATCTCTACAATCAGAGAAGAGATCTCTCATCTTTCTTCTTCCCCTTACAATACTTCCCCTAACTTCACTCCCTCTGCTGTTCTATGTTCATTCGCACCCGCTACATTGGAAGAAGTTTCTGCTCTGCTCCAGTCCTCCTGCCCAACCACCTGATCCCTAGATCCAATTCCCTCGCATCTAATCCATACTCTGTCTTCTTCTCTTTCTCCACCTCTCATTAAAATTCTCAATCTCTCTCTCTCCTCTGGTAAGCACAATAAACCCACAGCTCTGACTGTTCACTGCTTGACCCTCAACTTGGAGCTTTGTCTCGTTCTTGGGGGGATTTATTGTATGCTGTTACAGTTCGACTGCTAGGAGTGTAAACCTATTCGTATGGTTTTTCCTATTCGGCTGTTTACAGCATTCGTATGGTTTCCTGTTCGACGGATTGGTGTTCTACAGTAGCTGTGCCTGCATCTCTGGAAGGGGACGATCGCCTAAACGGTTTTAACCCCTTGTGTGCTGAAACGGTCCGTTACACCAGGATGTCCAGCAGTTTTGGCGTCATGATATAACGACATAATGTCCCGTCTTTCGGGAACATCAACAAACAGTTTATCAGTAGGTTTCTCATTGGGTGCTGAAGTGGAAAAATCAATTAAAGCATTGATTATTTCTTTGTGTATCTGCCCCTGGCCAAATCAATGAAACAATGCGTGCACGCTCCCTGAAGTAATTCACACCAGACACAGGTTCCAGGTTGTTGAATAACTTGAGGAAAGTTTATTCAGTGGGGACGGCAAGTCCCTTTTAAAGCAAAATTACATCATAAGCATTGTCAGAGATAACATGGAATAATACATCAATTATTGGTTAGGTGTTAAGTGGTTGCTTCAGTGCTCTGCCTACTGTAGGTGATGTCACCGGGGCCATGAGGGTCTCCCACGGTTTACCAGCGCCATCTTGGTGCACGAGGTAGTTAGTCGATGTTAGGAAGGAGAAAGGGAGGGGAGGGGGAAGGAGCTAGAAGCTTCCAGCAGCCATCTTAATTATAACGTGTGTGCTTAGCTATATGTATATATTCGTGAAATGAGTAAATAGACATTTTTCACTAACTAGGAAATATGTGCAGACTTTATTTCCACAACAGTCCCCCCTAAAATGGCTATTTACCATAACAACTGCTACTGTCCCTAATATGTCCCTAGTTGCCTGCAACCTATCTGTCTTAACTAGCATCGAACACTTCACTCCGCGGGTAACCCGCAGTGGCTAGTCCACTACATCTCCACACGTGAGACTTGCCAGTTAAGACAGACGCTTTCCCTATACTGTCCCTACAGGAAAGCAGTTGTTTGTTTGAACTGATGTGATTGAAGGGGTGTATGTGGAGTATCATCTTCGAGGTCTGTGATGTCTTGGTGTATGAAAGTAGGGGTCACGTCATCTATAGTCTTGTCTACCGCTTTCTGTAGATACTTCTGTATGCAGGGGAATATGCAACAGGTCAGAAATAAGAAAATGACGATCATTATGAGAACAGCTGCCCCCACCTGGAAGAGGGTCCTTTGCCAACCATTCATCCATCCAAACCATCTGTCCCAAGTGTCAATGACTCCTGAATTTTTCTTTAGTTCGTCTGCAAGACTATCTAGCTTCTCTATGGCCATAGTCACCTTACCATTGGGCCCCGTATTGTCTGGAATGTATGTGCAGCATGTCATGGTCTCAGGGAGGATTTTACGTACACCCCCTTTCTCAGCTAGAATCATATCTAGGGCCATTCTGTTCTGAAATGTCATTTGGGTAGTGGCTTGTAATTGCTCTGCCAGGCCCTGTAGGGCATCCCTAGTGTAGTTGACAAAGCGCTGTTGATTATAGTAAATGTAGTTAATCCAATTGACATTTTTGTTAGCAGTTATCATTGGAATTAGGGACTCAAATCCTGCAGCCACTTCATCTCTTGCTTTGAATTCGTTAGGCAACCCCCTTGGCACACCTATGGCATCAATATACACATGGGGGTCGAAACTCCCTCGAATAGGAGTCTCTCGTTTGGTTCTAGAGTGTACATGTGTGAGGTTTAACGTGTTATGGTCACCATCTGGAATGATATGGATAGGCATTATGACTTTAGTTAGGGCACACTCCCCCCACCATTGCCCAGTTAATTGGGACCTCAATTGTTTATCCCCACATAACCAATAGATATCACCGATTGTTTTTGTGTGGTTCATTAGCAGTGATACGGGTGGATTATGGTAAGTTGAGCAATATCCTGATGGGAATTTGCCCAAATACAAACCGGTGTTTTTAGATATTGTATAACATGTGTAATTACCTGGGTAGATGGTGACTCCATCAGGTGGTTTTACATGTCCGTGAGTGATCGGGTAAATTCTCTTCCACGATTCACATGTCGAGGAGTTGGTGACGGACTGTGTGTAAAGGCTTAGAACACATGATTCTACTTCAGGAGGCAAATTCAGAGGAACTGTGCCCAGATGGGGCCTGGCTCCTCCACACACGTAACAATTGGTCTTATTGTGTGAGTTGGCATTATACCTCATCCATTCTAGCCACAAATTAGTGTCTGAAAAACCAGTTTCCAGTGCCATAGTGTCTTCAAAGGTGGGGTTGGCTATAGCTACCATGTCATGTAGGGTCTTAATATGTGGTTTTAATGGGTTAACGATCATGTGAGTGGTCCCTACCCAGTCTGGGGAGGTGAGCATGTCTTGGAGGTAGAATGTCCCCAGTGCATTGTGTGAGCCACCTCCCTTCCAGTACATCCCCATCACATATTCCCCCGCGTCCCTTGGACTAGGGTGTTCTATATTCAGGGTAAGTTTAATGGGAGTCGACCCTGTGGGTTTACTCAGAGTCATTCTAGAAAGTAGGGGCTTCCCGTGTCAAGTCTGTCTAGTGCAACCTGAGGTCTGTAGCCCCATGGTCTACCTGTATTCCACCCGGCAGCTTTCCATGAACTACAGTGGTGTCCCCAAGCTCCTCCAGTCACACAAATGTATGGGTCCTTTTTGTTAGGTATGTCTTTGTATATGGCTGCATGTTGTGTCTGTGGGAATGTACAGGTAACTATGTCACAGTAATCAAAGGTGTATGTAGCTACATCTGTATCAGAAGAATTGTACCAGAAAGTGTAAACATGATTATCTTTGGTTATGGCCACTTGTTGGGCCCAGGCAAAATGCAACAATATAAGAAAACACAAGACACATAATAAATTCATGTTTCAACAAGATCAGCTTCTTCTGGAGCAGGTACTTTTTTGCAATGTGAAGCGTGTATCCAGGAACTTTTTCCAGCTAGTTTAACTGACGTTGCTGTAATCAGGAGCACTTGATAAGGACCATCAAATCTCGGTTCTAGGGTGTGTTTCCTGAGGAACTTCTTAACCATAACCCAATCACCTGGAAGCAGCTTGTGTGTACCTGTATTCGACTCAGGATCTGGAATAGAAGAAAACACTTGGGCATGTATCTTGGTCAAGGCATGTGAAAGGGCAGTCACATAGTCTACCATAGCGTCTGACTGAATCTGAAGCTGTTGGGGAAAGTAGCAACCTAACCTGGGTGCTGTACCAAACAAAATCTCATAAGGTGACAAACTGTATTTTCCTCTGGGAGTGTACCTTACAATGAATAACGCTAGTGGGAGACTTTCGGGCCAGGGCATGTTAGTTTCTTGTGACATTTTAAGAATTCTGGCTTTCAAAGTGCCATTCATGCGCTCTACCTTACCACTACTCTGTGGGTGATATGGTGTGTGGAATGCAAGGGTCACCCCCAGTGCTGACCAGACTTCCCGTGTTAGCGAGGCAGTGAAGGAGGTCCCTTGGTCACTTTCAATTACTTCTGGAACCCCATAGCGGCAAACAATTTCTGTCAAAAGGTACTTGGCTGTCGTCCTCGCAGTGAGATTAGTCACTGGGAAGGCCTCTGGCCATCCTGAAAACATGTCCACTATAACCAGTGCATATTCATGACGTCCGCTCTTTGGCATTTGAATGTGGTCAATCTGAATCCTCTGGAAGGGGTATTGTGGCTTGGCTAGATGATTAGGTGCAGTCTTTATGACCTTTCCAGGATTGCACTTAGCACATATAGTACAAGATTTGCAGTAATTCTGTGTTAAGGTAGTGATGCCTGGTGCTTCAAAATACTTGTCAATCAGTGAGTTCATCAGGAGCTTTGACAGGTGTGCTGGCCCATGGGCCCATTGGACCACCGCTGGGTACATACTTCTAGGTAGGCAGAACTTGAGATTGATGGTGTAAACTTCATCACGGAGTATTGCTCCTTTGTTCTTCCAACTTTGTTTCTCCTGAGGAGTGGCGGCAGCTTGTTGTTCCTTCAGCAGCCTGAGATCTGTAGGTAATGTTTGCATAGTGTAAATGGGTAATGTATCTGTGGCCACTGTTCTGTCCACTTCCCATCCTTGTCGTGCTGCCTCTTTGGCTGCCTGATCAGCTAGGTTGTTGCCACGTGCTTCTTCTGTGTCTAATCTTCCATGAGCTTTTACTTTCAATACTGCCACTTCTGCTGGGAGTTCCAATGCGTCCATCAGTTCTGCAATGGCTGCCCCATGTTTTACTGGGGTACCGGTGGCTGTAAGAAATCCTCTGGTCTTCCAGATTAAGCCAAAATCGTGTGCCACTCCCAGGGCATATCTTGAATCCGTATAAATGTTGACACATAGGCCTTCGGACAGTTTGCAGGCCACAGTCAAGGCTGTTAACTTGGCCTCTTGGGCAGACTTAGTTGGTTGTAGGGCAGCTGCTTGTAATATTTGACATCCTGTGGTGACTGCATACCCAGTGTGGTATTGTCCTTGTTCATCAGCAAACCTTGAGCCATCCACAAATAGTGTTTGATCCGGGTTGAGTAATGCAGCTTCATAAACAGTTGGTAGGTGTGTAGTTTCCATTTTCATTTGTTCAAAACAGTCATGGGGAATATCAATGAGGTTGCAGTCTATGGTGGGTGGGTCCTCACAGGCCTCTGTGTGGTACCTGGAGTATCCTGTTGTGCAGTAGTTAATGGTCTTATTATTTATTCCCGTAGAAGTCAGTTGTTCTTGAGTCATTTGGTTCCAAGTTTTGGCCATCGGGCCTAGGTTCTCCCATGAGGTGTTGTGGGATCTGGTGAGAGATATGTGTGGGATAGCTGTTTCCCAATGGTGGTAGAGGTGTGCTACATTATCTGGAAGGTGAACCAAAATAAGCATGGTACCTGTGGAGTCCCAAAATAAGTCAGTCAGGGTAATTTGAATTTCTTTGAGCTGAAATAGTTCTTCCTCATAGTCCACATCAGGACTTGGTACGTCCCTAAACCACAAGACACAGTGGAGTAGGGCCTCTGATTGTTCATCAGGGGGAGGTGTGAACACAGGCAACTGTAAATCTGCTCGAACATCTGGGTTAATATCCAGGCTGTACCAGTGATGCACAATTCCCCCCTTGGGAAGTGGCAGAAGAGTGGCTGGGTTCAGGGAAAGGCATCTCTGGAGTTTCACATTATCAGGTAGGAGTAGGGATGTCTGTAGGCGAAGGTGACGTTGGGAAGAAAGGTGTTTAGGTCGAACTTGCTGTAGGATTGCAGTAATGTCGTGAGGGGCTAACACTGTGAGGTGATGGCCAAGAACAAAGTCATTGGTCTTGTCCAGGAGAGTGCTGGCGGCAAACACCGCTCGGAGGCAAGAGGGGCTACCCCTTGCAACAGGGTCAAGCATGCAGGAAAAATAGCCAATAGGGCGTTGTCGTGAGCCATGTTTCTGGGTGAGGACTCCGGAAGCATGTCCTGATTTTTCAGAGACAAACAGGTGGAAGGGAAGTTGGTAGTTGGGCAGGCCCATGGCAGGTGCAGAAGCAATAGCCCTTTTCAGAGTATGGAAACAGATGATAGTTTCTTCTGTGAGGTGAAAGGGCTCACTCCTGAGGGCATCATAGAGTGGCTGCATGAGTTTTGATGCTTCAGGTATCCAGGACCTGCAGTACGTGATAAGACCCAGAAAAGCATGGAGAGCCTGGTGATTAGCAGGTAGTGGAAGATGCAGAATGGCTTGTACACGTTGGGAGGTCAGATGTTTGGTGCCATGGGAAAGGCAGTGTCCCAAGAAGACCACAGAGGGCCGGCACCATTGTAACTTGGATTTTGAGGCTTTGCAACCAGCTGCAGCAAGGAAACATAGGAGATCTTCAGAATCACGCTCTGCAATGAGCAAATCAGGAGCACAGAGAAGGAGATCATCAACATATTGAAGCAGGACGACATCCAAATGAGACTTCTGCCAGGGATCCAGCACCAGTGACATGGCGTGAGCAAACTGTGTGGGGGAATTCTGAGCCCCCTGAGGCATGACAGTCCAGGTGTATTGCTGTCCTTCATGGGTGAAGGCAAAGAGAAACCGACAGGAAGGGTCAAGGGGGACACTGAAGAAGGCAT